TAACAATCAGGCAGTAACACAATCCATCCCACACAATAGTGAACAAAGATCAGAATCTCATACTTTATTTGTTCTAGTGTTCCATATCCGTACGATGGAATCTCTGCCTGCAGAATACAGTCGACCGAGGTAAGGATCAAACTGAAGGGCATTGACACCTGACCTGTGACATCGCTCAACTTCATCTCTTATGACAAATGACACCTGTAATTAAAATAACAACAATTAGTTCCCAGCTGCAATCCTTCTGGTTAGAGAAATATTTGTTTTGATACCTGCTCGTTGCATTGCTCTTGCTCTTTTCCCATCAATCTTGCCAGTCGTCACTAAATTTCCCCCGGTCTAAGTGTGTTCATGAAACACCCTATTCTGCTTAACAATGAAGATGTGTCCCTGCAATACAGTACCAGAAAATACTGAGCATGTACTCTAACACTGTAAACTGTATGCTGTTAACAGAGAAACTATTTGGCCTATTTACACCTCAATGAAGACAAAGGTTTATGGTACACATGGAAATCTAGACTGTGCGATAGCTATCATCAAGTCTACTGGTTTCCTGATATACGTTTTCTGAAAGAAGGAGGAGGAGGAGGAAGAGAAGAAGAAGATGAGGATGGCAAAAACAATTAAGATGATAAAGACGCAGAAGAAAAAGAAGAAGAAGAAAAAGAAGAAGAGGAAAAAGAAAAAGAAGAAAAAGATGACGAAGACAATGACAACGATACTGATGATGATGATAAAGAAAAGCAAGAGGAAGAGGAAGAAGAAGAGGAAGAATAGGAGGAGATGGAAGAACGAGAAGAAGAAGAAGAAGAAGAAGAAGAAGAAGGCTGTCTCCATTTTGGTCTTCAGTTTGCTCCAAAATGTCAAATTATATATCTAGATGACTGCAGCTTGACCGTCTATTTATGTGCAAAACAACTGTTTGGGACTCGCTGTGTAGTGTTAACATCCTTGAATCAGGTGTCATTTGAATATTTTATTGCTGCAATAGTAACCCTTCAATAGTTTAGATGTATTCTGCATTCATTTCTCTTTAATTTGATATATTAAATGTCACAACACAGCCAATAATTTTTCTTCAGGAAGATTTCAGGTGTCATGTTGCAGTAAAAAAAAAAGTGCAGCTGAAAATTAATTCTGTCTGAACCCCAGAATAAATGCCGTCCTGAAAGAGTCAAAGAGTTAATGGTAATAAATTATTATGGAAAGGTAAGACATCATATAATTATTTAACACTTTCAGGCCCGAGCAAGGCTGTGTGTGTTGACTGAGAAGTTCTGATTTGACCAAACCACACAGTCTGTGTTGATAATGTGTTCTGTACATACTGATTTGCATGCTGCTCCGCATTTGTTTCTAACGTTTAAACTCCCATTAAAATGTTTAGGGAAGGTTACTCTAACATTTTTATTGGTTTACAAGTCTTCATTCATACATATAAGTACAAATGTAACCGATTCTTTGCTAACGTCATTTTCAGACAGTGAATTTTCTTATTTCATCTTCAACTGGCCATAGATGCCAGTTTTCAAAACATAAGCACAGGCCGCAAAATGCGCCTTTCCGAGACTGAAACTTTGAAATTGTTTCAGTCATGGGTTTTTTATTCTGATAATAATAATAACAATTTATTTTTGGGGACAAAGTAATTCAGTTGGTGAATTTACACCAGCGGCAGCTGGGCGGTTAGCTTGAGATGATCTAGCTGTTCTGATGAGCTAAACCCAGCAGGATCCATTTAATTTGCGAAGATGTGATGGTCGCCCACATTTTCAGCCAAAGGACTGTTTCAGACAGTACCATACCATGGCTAAGCTGCATCAAAATGACTGCTGCTACAGTCTGTATATAACTACAAAGTAAGTATTTTGTGTTTAATGGTCAATTTTTCCGCCATTTTGTTCTTTGAATTATTTTTTCAGCACTCTTTGTGAACCTAAAGCTTCCGAGTATTAAACTAACCAAGAAACTTAACATAAAATTTGAATTTACTAAAAAACTGAACAAACTTTGAATTGTTATTCTCAAGTTTAGATATTCACTGCTCTTGTGGCTGCAAAACCATGGTATGTCACAGCTAAGTGAAGTGAAGAATTTGGCTATCTTCCGAATAACAGTCCCAAATTATCGAGGCAGAAAATATACCCTAACAGAACCTCAGTCCCGTGTCAATTGCGCACTTTCAGCAACTTATATTGCGCACTTCTGGCGACTTGCGCCACCACCAAAAGTATCCCCCACCCCGCATGAGCGGCGTGGAGTGGGGCTAAACTAGATAGCTGGGACTCACGAGCAGCAGCTACCACATTTCCTGCAGCTGCCCTTATTTTATTTGCTCGTGAGTCCCAGCCATCTAGTTTAGCCCCAATCCCATGGGGGATACTCTCGGTGGTATAGTCCCCAGAAGTTCGCAATTCGGCGGTGGCAGTCTAGTCCCCAGAAGTGCGCAACTGACACGTGACTGAGGCTCTGTTAGGGTATATTTTCTGCTCTGATAATTTGGTTCCGTTATTTGGAAGATAGCCGAAGAATTTTGTCTTTGTAAACATAACACATGCTGAATCATTTTTTTTCCACTAACAGTTTACAGCATTCAACAAAAATATTATTAACTGTTGTAGGGATTGGAACTACATTACATTTCCATTTTTTTTTTTTAAACCACCCCTCTGCCATTTTTTGTAAATGGAAATTAGTGCGAGCCAAGTCTGTCAGAATTCATTGGCATGCAAAAGTTAATGATAATAAATATAACCAGTTCAGTTCTGACTACAATTGACAATTGTCACCATCATAATATTAATAGAAATTAATAATTAACCAGCTGCTTAAGACGGGACATAGCGATTATGAGAATGTTCTCCGGTGCTGTGATGGTGTCGGTTCTTACTCTTAATATGATACTAAAAAACTTAACGGTAAACAATGAAATGTGAATGGAATGCTACAGGCTAAACACGAATTCCGTTGCCATTTGTTTTTCTTTCGCAGCCCGACATTGGTCCACACAGACAACAATGGATTTGCGAAACATCAAAATGTCATTCATTACCTGAACCTTTTTGCGGCCTTGATTTGTCGACCCTTTATGCAGAGACATCTTTAAAATGCAGAGAATGCACGCCGATTCACGGAATGCAATAATTTGGTTCCAGTTTTATCACAACGGCAACCTACAATTCACAATCTATTTTATTTTAGTGTTTAGTTCGTCCATGTTTAGAAAACAACCGGGCCAGACCATTACTAAATATAGTCGAGAATCGATTTCTCTTGTGCAGACGATATTTGTATTCAGTTGTACATGAACTTCTTCGCGTTCACCAGCTGTGAACTCAGTATTGGTTGTTCGTCCATTTCTTGACTTTAGTACCTCTGTAAGCTAAGAAGTTTGTCATAAGATGCGACTAAGGAAAGTTTGTACTCGGTTGGCTACCACATCATTTAAAAAAAAAAAATTAACCACAAAATCTAGTCCTCAAGACCGGGTTGAAGGCCTGTACTTCTTTTTGTTCGCGTTCACCAGCTGTAAACCCCTGAGGAAATTTCTGGTTGTTTGCCTCCTTCTGGACGTTAGTCTCATTCCAGAGTTTTAGTATTTGAGTGCACATCCGTTTTACATATCTGTCTTATTCACGGCCATCTTTAGCTATAAATCTAGAGTTGGCGGTGGTCTTATTTACATGCACACTGATGGCCCCGCCCCGTCCATTTCGGGCGAAATCGCTTTGACTTTCAGAAATACCTCTAATTAAATTAGTCGACTCTTACGACATGCTTGTTAGAAAGATGGTTGGCTGTTCGTGATTGCCTCCCTCCTCCTTTCCCAATCGCAGTGAGGCCCCAGGACCCACACAGGGGAAATACACGAACTGTTTTTATAAGAATAATATTATTTTTTAGCTTCTCCCTACAGGATTTCATTGTATGATAAACACCTCACCAATGAGAATCAGTCCGGTACGAATCCCGTAAAACCTGTATAACAGTTATACCAGGGCACCAGACGGTTACTAAGTTCAGTAGAGTGATTCTTGTTTTAAGAACTATAAATTCCTTTCCTACACACTTTCTGAGCAGTGATTTTTCTGTCAGTACGCAGTACGGCAACTTTTTTTAAGCATACATTTTTCAGCACTACGGTAATAGACATTGTGGTGATATTTTTTACACTTTTTGGCGAGTTCAATACCTTTGTTTTTCTAGGATGGATGAAAAGCAGTCTGAAGAATGTACAGGGAAGACAAGGAACAGGGGGTGTCGGAGATGTAATCAAGCTAACCTTTATTGTGGAGACAGCGCCTGATTAATGATGATGTACAAATTCTGCAATTAAATAGGCAATTAAAACCATCTTCTGATATGAATTATATTATGCTACATTTATGTAAACAACTCTGAATGAAATCTATGTACTGAATGTTGTCAGTACGTTACTGAGAGAATGAAAGAACGAAAGAAGCCACGAACTTTAATTTCAAAGGATCACAAATTGGGAACATAGACCTATCTTGCATTTGGCTCTTCCAAACACTAATCTTTCACACAGCAATTGTATTCTTTCTTCTTTTGTCGTCCCACTATACCAGGTTGTAGCCCAAGATCCTGGTTTTGTCGTCTCACTATACCAGGTTGAAGCCCCGTGTCGTAATTTTGTCGTCCCACTATACCAGGTTTTAGCCCAGTGTCGTAGTTTTGTCATCTCACTATACCAGGTTGAAGCCAAGTGTCATGGTTTTGTCGTCTCACTATACCAGGTTGTAGCCCACTGTCGTGGTTTGTCGTCCCACTATACCAGGTTGTAGCCCATTGTCGTGGTTTTCTGTATTTGCCTTGCGCTTTGTGATAGATTTGTTCATCTTTTTGCATGTTTTAGCTACACCTTTCATCCATATCTTTCTTGGTCTTCGGCTCGCCTTCCTTCCGGGTGTTCTATTGTAAAAAGTCTCATATGCAGTATGGTCTGTCTGAATTCTCACTAGATGGTCGAACCTTCATTCTTTGCCTGTCAGTACAGACATGGTCTTTTGCAATTTTCTCTCCAATGCTGGTATTCGTAGCCCTGTCTCGTCTAGTGTTGTTACTTATCTTGCAGAGACAACGCATTTCACATGTGGTTATTTTCTGTTCTAGTGCGCCATTTATTGTCCTTGTCTGGCACTGATAACATAAGTAAAGTAAAGGACCCTTTTCCCCGCCTTCATACATATATTCGCTTATGGACATATAGAGCTAGACCTGTATTTTATATACCAATGGGCGCAAGATGGGTGATGTGATCAGCATCACGCCGACCGCCTTTACTTCACGGGACTCCAGCCGGTACCCACTCAAGGCTGGGTCGACCTGGGAGCCAAGGTCATTTTTGAAAACAGTCCGGCTCCACCAGGGAGCGTACCCACGATCTTCCGATCCTCAGCGAGCCTCTAGCCGTTCTGCCACGGCGACTTTCATAAACTGTCAGCCCTGTGTGATGTACAACGGTACAGGATCATGATGATGATGATGATGACAATGATGACGAGTTACACGAATACTAGTAGTCGCAGAGATCTTATGACAACCGATACTTAGCACACATTTCTTGTTTTTAACATCGAAAGAGTTCCCCAGTTGATCGCTCACTCACACGCCTAGTCTCTCCTGTATATTTTGTCTGATTGTTCAATGTGAGATGTAGTCTAGGCAACTGGCCGACAGTCTGACCCCTCCAGGCTGCTACCTGAAAGTTTAACACCTGCATTTTACAAAATCTTATTGACTAGTACAGCTGTAAGAATCAACAACTGTTTAGGTACATTTCAGTGCATAAAGAAGGGCGTCCGACGAGAATGTATACTCTTACCTGATTTATTTTCACTATACTGAACAGTGAATTTAAAGTAGGTCTTTAATTGATATGCTCGGAATTGTGGTTAGTGGGTATAATAAAAACAATTTATGTTATGCCGATGACACAGTCTTGATAGCAACAAGTCAGAAGGAACTACAGGAAATTATAACGGGCCTAAGTTTGAATAATGGGCCTCAGTTTGAATAATGGAAAGACAGAAGTAATGTTGGTCTGGTATCAAATAAAATAGTTACTCCTAAATGTGCAATTAAAGTTAATGGGTTTTTTTTTGGGGGGGGGGTGAGGGGGTCAAGTACACACATTTAAGTATCTGAGCACATGCATAACAACAGATGAAAGACGCATTGATGAGATAAAAAACAGAATAGGAAAAACAGGCAAAAACTGCATTTTTTAAAATGAAGAACATCTTATGCAATATATCTCTGTCATTAAAGGTTAGAAACAAATTATTGCTCGCTACATACATCCAGTTTTAACATATGGCTGTGAGTCCTGGACAAACGGTTGAAAAGCCAAACAATTTCTTGAGGCCTCAGAGATGTGGTTTTACAGAAGAATGCTTAAAATACCTTGGACAGCCAAAAAAGAGCAACAGAGAGATTTTGAAAGAGGCGGGAGCCCGAAGACAACTTATCACAGACATCAGAAGGAGACAGTCGTCATTTTTCGGCCATGTTAAGAAAAGAGAAAAAATTGAACATGTTGTGAACAAATGGAAAGATCTGTGAAAGAAGGGATAGAGTAAGACAAGGAGAAAAGATTCTTGACAGTATTGTTGCATGGCATGGAGTACACGAACTGATACATGCTGCAGGAGATCGCGGATTGTGGAGAGGCATGATCGCTCACACCAGTCGGCAAGGCCCTGGTGATGATAATGATTCACCTGTACAAGCGAAAAAAATCACTTGTAAGTGCCAAACGTGGACACTTACACCCTCAAATGAACATATAATTGTGACAACAGAGATTAAATGCCATAGAAGAGCTGCAGGAGTTTCAAAGACAGACAAAATACGACATCTGTAAATCAGATTTATGCTTGGAATAAAGCCAGTCCTGCAAATCATCAAAGAACAACAAATGAAGTGGTTTGGACACCTAACAAGAATGCCCTGGTACTATCTACCACAGCAAGCCACACTAAAACGTTACAACCGGTATAGAGCGAGGGAAAGACCTCGGAAATATAGAATGATGGCATAAAGAACAGCTTTACAGAATGAACACCAATCTTAATAGTGCTCTTGACAAAGCTTATCAACGAGCGATACACCCCCTCTTCTTTTTTCTCACCCCCCCCCCCCCGACACTTCACTGAGGTACAAGTTGGAAGAGAAGAAGAAGACGAAGACAAGCGAAAAGGAAACCGAATGGCCTGCGATAACCACAATCTCTCTATTGTCTTTAGCATGGAAGAATACTAGCTCAGAATAAGTCTGCTTCGCACACGGCACACTTTAATCAAACTGATCCAAGACAGCCGAAGAGAAATTTCAGGAACAAAACATGGATCTGTTTTATGTGTCCCATTAGTTAGTTAATCAGTCAGTCAGTCAGTCAGTCAGTCAGTCAGTCAGTCAGTCAGTCAGTCAGTCAGTCAGTCAGTCAGTCAGTCAGTCAGTCAGTCAGTCAGTCAGTTAGTTAGTTAGTTAGTTAGTTAGTTAGTTAGTTAGTTAGTTAGTTAGTTAGTTAGTTAGTTAGTTAGTTAGTTAGTTAGTTAGTTAGTTAGTTAGTTAGTTAGTTAGTTAGTTAGTTAATCGACCACACATTCTCATCGCACATGGGACAAGTCTATAAACACACGGATCTCATCTGCAGCAGCTTGTGGAGACTTATAACGCCAGTTCAGTGTTAGTTTACTATTTTTCTTTCGATACTATTATATTGTCCATTGCTTTTCCTGTGCACACTGTGGCTCCCAGCAAGCCAGTCCGATCATTCCTTCCCTCTTACCCCAGAGTGTCCTGGCACAAGAAGGAAACCGATTCCTGTAAGAGGAGATTTCTTCAGACACTGCAACCTTGTCTGCGAACCCAGCCTTCCTTGTTCTTCTTAAGTATATTCATGGAATCAGTTAGAAAGTACACAAAGGAAAACGTTTGTGCCTCTGGTCAGCTCACTGCTTTTGTTAACGTCATCACCTCCGTAGTTTATGCCTTCGTTCATATTATAAAAGTCATTTGATGAAGTTTACAGGGACTACTAATAGAAGGTTACAACAAAATGTGGCTGCCCCGAAA